ATAAATCGAGCAATTTCTAACATCTTATTGTCACATGTAAATTTAATACCATGTTAAAAACAATAAATGTTATTTTAAAATAAATTATATTTTTTGAATTTAGAGTAGACAATCTATACCTTGTATGAAGTTTGCACTGTAGTTGTTTCAGTTTTGAGTGTGAAAAGTAAGGTGTTTTCGGTTTAAATACTCCAATAGAAACAACAACCTTCTTTGGGCCAAAAGTGTTTAATGTTATTTTTGCATCATGGGTTGATTGTGGTGGATAAAACCTTTTCTTAAGAAACAGGTGAGGTCGTTTGTACAATATGCATTTACTTAGCTAACTTTGCTTAGCTAAATTCTTTTGCCTAGCTAACTTTGTGCAAGGATGTTTAATACCTTTTCCTATTTGTTGAAAACAACTTCTGCAATGAACAAGATTTTCGTCTGTAGTCGAAAGATTTAAATTACTGTGACTTTGATCAATATCTGCATTAGTTTCACAAGATACTATTGGTGGAAGAGTGGCTGTTTCAGTACCATTTTTACGCCCATTAACATAAATAAAACACTCACATTTCCCACCTCGAATAACTCTAGTATTAAGACCTAAAAGTAATAAGAAGTTATTTTTTCAGTGCAAACAAAATATTGTTTATAAAAAGAATAATAATAATGCAAAACATAATTGGTTTTTATTGGCTTATTTTTTTTATAAAACTTACCTTCATACTTAGGTTGAGTGTTGAATAAAAATCTTTTTGAATTTGTTTTCTTTAAACTCGCTAGATTTTTTCTGCAATTAGAACATAGCATATTTTTTACATACATTTTAGGCAGATCAGGGTTTTCTACAGAGTAATTTTTCCAAAAAAATCTTTGGATAAGATTTTCATAATTTTTTCCTTGTTTTGGAACTGGTTTATTGCATTGGTTTGAATGCATCTTAAATCATTACTTTTTCTCATACAGCATATGGAAAAGCATTTTAAAAACTCGTTATGATTTTTAGCGAAGTATGACATTTTTATTCTATTATTGAGAAATAGTTTCTGTATTTTTAATTGGCTCTTAAATTTAAATTAATATAAGTTATTTACTTAATTAAATTAAGTCGCTGTTATTGCTAAAATGTGTTTATAAATATTTTTGAAGTCTTTTAAAACTTCTTACTAAGTTTTATTTAAAAACTACCAACAAATGATTTAAATTTTGATAGTTTCAGAATGTACTACTTTCAATAGCAAAAAAACTGTTCATATATCTATAAATTGTAGCTTTTGAATAGCCTTCCATCTTAAAATGGTTCCAACTAGCATGTTTTCTATTTTCATGATTTTTTTGATAAAAATTTTAAAAATGACTTTTCAGGGCTTATTGATTTAGCATTTTAAATTAATATCTAATCAAAAATTAATCAGACAGTTTGTATACTACTTGATAAAGGAAAGATAGAGCTTTAATTTGAAACACAATACTAATTACTTTATAAAACTTACTAATGTTATATGTATATATCAACTAATGCTTGAGGCACACTGATGAAATCATACTAAAATAGCTGAAATCATACTGAAATAATTCTGCAGGGTTTCAGTACATGCAGCAACTAAGGTTTTATTTTGAGAAGGTACTGTTTATATATAATAGATTTAATTAATGCAAGTTAAAAAATTATTAGGGTAGGGTGAAATTTTGGAAAAATACCTTATCTCTTGGCATAAATCAGCAAAGTTGAAAACTGAATATCTCAAGAATTGAACTCTTTCAGCACTACTATGACTGCTCGGCTTATGCTTCCAATAACCGGCAATTACTGGTAATGGCTTTTAGAAAAACATTTATTAATAACATTTTTACATTCATGCAAGGCAAACAATTCCTGTGATTCATATATTTAAATGCAGATTGGAAAATAAGATATCAAAGCGGTCAGTTTGACCGGCTAACACATGGAATTGATAGTCCATTGTTTTTTTGGACAGTCAAAATTTTAGTTTTTTTCTATAGTTAAATTTTTATCTTTGTATTATTTGCTTATGACTGAACTTTATAAATACAAAAACAAATTAATGCTTAAAATAAAAAATATATTCCTTTTAAAATAATAATTTTAAATAAAATCAATGTATTTCTAAAATAGAATCTCTCTACAAGTTTGTCATTACAAATAGGTTATCAAATTCAAAACTGTATATCAATCAAGGGGTAAACAAATTCTATCTTTTGACTAGCCTCGCACCCCTTCTTCATTTATAAGGCTGACGTTGATGTATTTTTAATACATTGTTTCCAGTTTAGGATGTTGAATGCTGGATCTTCTCTACTAAATGCATGGATTTTGCTTGTAACTCTGTTTTTATGACTAGACAACTCATAATATCTCCTAATGAGAATACAACTCTAAAACTCAGTTTTATGGTTCTAAGGGCAGCTGTAGTTAGGTATCCCAAACTCTGCAGTAGCTCTCAGAGAATCTGATTCCATTGACAGCTCTAAAATATCAGAATACTAACAGTGCTATGTTGCACATGGATGGTGTTCCTGTTCGTACTTTTAGTGTGCATTGTCAAGGCCATATTTGGAGCCTTTTTTTAGGGCTTAGGGTTTATTAATAGTAATAAGGCAATTGCTTGGACTATAAAGTAGAGTAATGAGTACTATCTGTGCTTTGAGTCAAGTTCTTTATCAAATTTTAAAATGACTAAAGTAACAGAAACTATAAAACATAAAAAACCATTGCCATCACTAATTTCTCTAAATCTATCATTCGCTAATAATCTGATCAAATTGACCAAGCCCTCTCTATTTATCCTTCAGCCAATATCGTTGTTGTTGGTGACTTTAATGCTCATCACACTGAATGGCTTGGCTCTAGTGTCAGTGAATCTGTAGGCGTTAAGGCTCACAACCTTTGCCTTTCTCAATCTCTAACATAAATAGTCAACTTTCCAACTCGCTTTCTAGACAATCCAAATCATTTACCTTCTGTGCTCAACTTATATCTTGTTTCTGATTCTAGTCAGTGCTCAGTTTCTCACAGTTTGATCTCTCTAAAACTATTATTTCATTCTTCTTCATTATCAGAATCCCCCCTATCATCTTACCTCTGTCCCATTAGTCTTATTACTATCATAAGCAAGGTTTTTGAGTCTTTGATTAACAAACACTTAATCTCTCATCTTGAATCTAATAACTTACTTTTTGATCATCAATATAGATTTTGATCTTCTCATTCTACTGCTGATTTCTTAACAGTAATAACCGATAGATTTTATCATGCTTTAGGTTTTTTTTGTTAATTCACCTCCCCAAGGCCAAGAAGACCACTATAGACGAGGAGGCTACTTTATTGTAATTATAACACTCTCTCAACTCTATAACTCCAAAATTCAAACCTTGACTAACAAGGCCGCTGCGTGGAGAAACAAGTTGAATACGCTATACCAGGGATGTAGTGAGGATCCAACTTGGAACCTCTAACTTATGAAGCGAACGCTCTACCACTAGACCACTACCTCACCTCAAGGTTAAGGTCCTCAAGGTTCTAACCTTTACCCTATACTTTTTTAAATTTGCATTAACAATCTCCAGAAATTCTCACATTTAAGGTGGCATTGTTCACTGATGATTCTGCCTTTTATTCTTGTCTTGAACATTTGAGATTGAAAAGGGGAGCCAATACTCTCTAACTATTTGGAGGGGACATTTGAGGTTGAAAAGGATCTCACTTATACTACAGGATAGGGCTCTCAGTGGTTGGTGAACTTTAACTCAGATAAAACTCATCTTTTTTGTAATATGCAGCAATGATGTACCATCACACATGTATCGGTTCATTCCTATAAGAATATCAGAAGTTCATGCTTTTGACTTTTTTTGACTCTTTATTCATTGTTTACTTTGTTTGGTTTTGATCTTTAAGAGAAATTACTTGTTTTAATTAATGATTATGCCATCATAAAACAGTAGCAAAATAACTCTTCTCATTATTTTGAATGGTATCCTATAACATGATATGAACTTTTAAAAATGCTTGCAGTAATAATTTCAATGGGAATTGATCAAAGAGTTATGTTTAAGGTCTACTGGTCCATGGAGACCTTTAATTATTTGCCATGGTACCACAAATGATATTTATGTAATAGGTTTGAGATTTTATATTTCACCATGATTTATGTTGGTACTTGCATTAGTGAAGAAAAGTCTAATGAAGATAAAATTAAATCTTTTTTATATTTATTTTTAGAAACTTTTCAAGTAGCATTATATTTTGAAAAAAACATTTCCATTAATGAAATGGTTGTTAAATGGGTAGGATGTTCAAAATATAAAATGTACAATCCTTGAAAACCAGATAAATTTTATATAAAGACATTTTGTTTATATGAATCTTTTACTGGCTATACATTCTATGACTAATAATTTAACTTGGTAAAGAGGCTTCTTACCTGTCATGTACAAATGATAAACAATCAGAGAAAATATTTGACTATTTGCAATAGAAGTAGAACATGCAAGATATATATTCATCCTAAGCAATCCTTCAAACTTTTCCATGAAGTTTACGTTGTAGTTGAACATAAAAACGACTTAGTTTAAATAAAACCTGTTGTTTTGTTGTGTGTTTTATTAATCCACCAATTATTCAAGATTTTATAGTTTTTCTTAAAGTGTTAAGGAGTTGGATATTCAAATGTTTCCAAATAAATGTTTCCAAATAAATCTTTCTCACAAATACATGAATTAAAAAAATAAATGATATTTTTTTATTTAAAATTACTAGTGGCAATTTGACGCACTATAAACACAGATGCCAATTTAAAACTGATATTAAACTGATTAAAGACTAAATAAAATTTAACATTAACACTGCTGATGATGTTGTTGTTTTTGTTATTATTATTATTATTTCTGTAGGTATTATCATTATTGCTTACTTTTGTTGTTGTAGTATTATTATCACCATCATTGTTGCACTTAATAACTGTTTATAATTAGTATTTGTTTTATTTTAGCTGAAGTCTGACATGCGAAATGATTTTAAGAAAGCTATTATATACGACTACGGAACACCTAACAATGCTATCGTTAATACGACTATAGATACTTTCCAAAAGACTTTTATGTGCTGTGGTTATGATGGTTATCTGGACTACTATTATTCAGCTTATACAAATAAGACTGATTTTCTTCCAGAATCTTGCTGTGTGAAAAATTCAGGTCATCCATGTCCAACTCATAAAGCAAGTCTTCTAGCCGAAGCTTATTATCAACAGGTACTTAATTACAAGCTTATTAGCAAGTTTTTCTAGAGAATTTATTTATAAAGTTTTATATTTGCTTGTATTTTCATTAATTTGCACTTATAATGAGTTATGTTTGCAAGTTTTTTAGGAGAATTTCCTGAAATATTTTTATATTTGCATTTTAGGGGTGTTTTAATCAGGTTATGCAGTATTTAAGAAAAAACTTATTATTGATTGGTGGACTGAGCATTGCTTTTGCTGTTATTCAGGTTAGATTGAGTATTTTAAATATTTTTTGTGTTAAAACTTGAAACAACTTGAAGTTTTTACTTAAAGTTGTTTTATGTCAAATCCTAAAAATAAAAAAGTATTTAATTAGTATTTTTTTTAGTATATAGAAGTTTTTTTCTTTTATTTATCTGGTAAATTTCTAGGCAGTTTAAAGATCTAGGTTGCATATGGGAGGACATAGGTAAAGAGCAAAACCTTGATAAAATTTGTGCAATAGAATAATGTTATTCAACTTGATTTGCTCCGACAAGTAGTCAATGGTCTTTAGCCTACTGAAGATGCTTGGCTTTTTAATCAATCAGCATTGATAATTCATGGTAAACTACATGTATCAAACGATTAGTTTAAATGCTTGCATCAATAACTGTTCAAACTATCTAAATCAATTGTTGAATTCTTTTACTCTTTTTTTGTGGTACAAATAACTGCCCTAAAGCTATGCATAAAACAGATATTGAAACTTAATTTAAAGTCATCATGGATACATAAACTATCCAACAGGCTATGGATACTTTCACTTTGCAAATGAAAGATCCAGTTGGCTACTTCATAACCTTAGCACTATAGCCATTGTAGCATTGCTAACTTGCAATTGCTAACTTACTTGAATCTAGTTAATCGCTAGCATTAAATAAATATAAATAAATTATAACTAATAATTAATGAGGTTGAATTAAAATAATTTAAGATAACTTTCAGGTGAAAACTTTTATGGTGAAAACTTTACTCTTGTATAAATAGTATCAAAATATATTTTGCAAAAAGTTGCTAAGATTAAAGATTAAGAACAAAATTGCAAAGATTTTGACCAACCTTTAACAAATAAGAAGAAATAATGCTAATTTGAATATTATTTTTGTAATTTTGTTAACCAAATTGAAATTTATTGACAAATTAAAATTTCATTAAAAAAACTTTTTACTTTAGAAGTTATGGCAATATAGATTTAAAAACTAATGCATTTAGGAGGTATAAATTATATTTAAGGAACATTTAGGTTTCTTAATAGAGTTTATACCTCCTAAATGCAGAGACTTTACAAAATCATTAAAATTCAAATCCTGTAGGCTGGACATTATCAGAAAAAGCATAAAAGAGTGGCAGTGGATAAAACTATTAGCTGAGGAACCTCAAAAATCGTTCTTAAATGACTAATCTTAAAAAGCTTGTACGCAGGTATAGGAGGAAGTGGAGTTACCCCAAGATAAATGCATACAGGGGTTGGTCAAGACTGCGAATACGCGGTTTGATTATCACTCTTTCATCTCTCCTAAAACCTTTTTTTTTTTAAACAAAAGCTTTTAGTTTCCCAAGTTTTAAAAATCAATAGAAAAAAACAAGACAACTTTTTTTTTTAACAACAACACTTGGCTAAAAATAATTCTGATAATACTTTTTTTAGGGTAAAGGAAGGTATGTTCGTGATAAATTAACTAGATGTGTAATTACAAAGTCAATTTCAGTAATTTTACTTAATTACTTTAATTGTTTGATGTACATAGAGTAAAGTTACTAGAATCTATGCAGTTTTGGGATTTTAAGTCCTTTGATAAGTTTTTATAAAAGCTCAAAAGTCATTGAGAAAAGTTAGGTAATTTTGTGATATGATATTTAATTTCGTGATAGTGGTTAGGTAATTTCGTGAGTACACAATAATATTTAAATTTTTCTTTATTAATTAAGTATGACATCTGGTATAATATAACAAAAAAATATCAACACTTGTTTTGAATTCATAACTATTCAATCAGACTTTAAGTTCATAAAATATAAATATAGTCAGGCTTATAAGTTAACAAAATTATAATAATACTTTCATTACTTTATATTTATATATAAAAAAAATATACTTTTAACATAGGTAGCTTAGAAAATAAAATAAAAGACCTACAAAAAACTCTTAATATAATAACTATAATATTAACCATACTTATAAATGCATTAATTCAAAATAAATGCATTTTCTATATTTTTTTTAGAAAAGCTTTTAATAAATGCTGGATTCAATATTGTATGAAAAGTTGTCCGATTAGGTTTTTTTCCAGGATTTTCCCTCATAAAGTCATTTAAGCTAGTGGCCCAGTTTGACTTAAGTGGCTTGTATATTCCTACATCTAGTGGTTGTAATAAATGACTAGTATGAGCTGGAAATGTAAATAAATATATTTCATTTTCTTTTGCAAGTAATATAACATCCATGTTAATGTGTGATGCATGTGAATCCATGAATAATATCACAGGTCGTTCACTTGGAATAGAATCAATAAAAAATTTAAAAGATTCGTATAGAGAAAGATATTATCTTCATTTAACTATATAGTTATATCGTGCTTAAAACAATTTTTAATGTCATTATATTTAATAAAAAAAACATGATTAAAAATGTAAATTCATTTGAGGTGAAAACGTTAAGAAAATGTGTAACTGCGATAAGGAATCATAAGTTATAGGAAGTTAATAAAAAAACAAAAGTTTTACCATTAAATCAAGCATGTTTTCTAGTTTAATATTTAATAAAAATAATTTACTTACCTTAAAACACAAGTCTGGAAATAAAAATGTTGGACAAGTACTCCAAACAAATGTGCTGAACGCACGTAAAATAATGCTAAAGAATGTACAAACTGATAGTAAACAATTGACATATCACACGCACCCAACGACTATTTGTGAATCGACAGTAGTACCCCGGGTACCATTTGATGCAATTTCGATGTTTTTGACTAATAGGTATGTTCGCTACAAATGCCGAAAGAAATATCACGAAATTACATATATCACGAACATACCTTCCTTTACCCTACACATTTTAGTTACTAAACTTATTAAAACTTTACTAAATCAAACATTCTTCATTTACTAAATCATTCATTCTTCATTTACTTAATCATTAATTCTTTATTTAATTAATCATTAATTCTTCATTTAATTAATCATTCATTCTTCATTTACTTAATCATTAGTTCTTCATTTACTTAATCATTCATTCTTCATTTACTTAATCATTCATTCTTCATTTACTAAATCATTCATTCTTCATTTAATTAATCATTCATTCTTCATTTACATAATCGTTCATTCTTCATTTACTTAATCATTTATTTTTTATAATTTAAAACAATATGGAAAAATTATAGTATATAAAAATTATAGTTGGCACTAAAAAACAGTTGTGACATACTAACATACAAACTAATTACTAATAATAGAGTTTCTATGTGTTTTGTTTGTTTAAAAATTAGTAAAAATGACCAGCGATTGAGTCAGCAAGTTTTAGAATGTATTTTTTTTTTTGCAAACAAATTGCACTTGCATATTTGTTTACAAAAGAATAGAAAACTAGTTATTTGAATTTGTAAGTTAATATTGAAACTTAACAAATGAACAAATTCGTTAGTAATGCTAAACTTCTATGTTTACCCTTGATATAGAATTTTTCTTTTCTTCAGATAAATTATCTAGCGCTATTTAAAACGATCCTTCACACCTCTTAATTTGGTGAAATATCAAATTAAAAGCAAAATTATTTCTCTTAAGATTTAATTAGAATAGTAAAATGTTAGTGAAATAAAAAAAATTGTTTTCAACCAGTGGCGTAACTATAAATAGGTCTAAGCTCCAGGGCCCCCCGCCTCGCGGGGTTATGCTCCCCCCTAGTTACGCCACTGTCTTTATCAAGGTTTTGTATGAATAGGCAAACATTACTTAAGTGCAGAGTTCAAAATTCCAATTTTATCAATCATTTGAATAAATCCAAAAATGTTTGTTGACACGATCCCATTTCAAAATTTACTGAATTTTGATAAACAAGTTTTCATTTATTTAAAAAAAAAAATCACTATATAACTCAATAGTTTCAGGTTATGATTATAAACAAAGAGATAGTCCCAATCTCTTTGTTTATAATTGTTTATCTTTTCAGATTAATTTGTTCTCTTTTTTTTGACTTTTTATAAAAATTTCAGTTCTTTAAACAAAATATATTTAATTTATTTGTTATTGTAGATATTGGGAATGGTGTTTTCGCTTATATTATTCTGTGCGCTTGGTGGACAAGGAGAATATGTTTAATCTTTAAGAAACATAAAAATCGAAAATTATTTCTAATAAAGATACTTGTAGGGAGATTTTTTTGTGTGAATTTTAAAATGTTTTTTTTTTGCTAAATTTATAATGATTTTACTTTATGATGTTTATTATATTAAAATCTTATAAGATTATTTTAATTGTCGTTTTTATTGTCATTTTTATTCAGAAGTATGTAAATATTTTAGTTTTTTGAAGTTTTTTTGGAATTTTAAAAATACACTCTTTTAATGATAGAATTTGTTTTTGATAGTAATTGTTATTATTTTATAAATATTGTTCAGTTTATTATAACATTTTAAAAATATTTGTTCTAAATATTTACTCCAACCAAGTTTAGTCTACTTATAAATCAATAACATAAACTAATAGTATCACAGCACAAGTTTGAATGCAGAAAGATTACTGCTCTTATACTAAATATTGCAGTTAGTCCCCAAAAAAATATCTCGCGCCGTTTCACTTTTAGTTTAGGTGTTAAATATTAACCAATAGGCGAAAAATTGAACTTTTTAGTTCGATTTTTCAAACTAATACTTTATTTCAAGTTTTTCTCTTGAAAAATAAATATTGTTAAGTACACACAGAAAATAATATTAGATTTTGCGAAAATCTAATATAATATGGCGCAACATTAACATTAATTAAAACTAGGGGTTTGACTGCCAAGTATTAAATACTGAAACATTTAATATTGAAAGTAGTGTTGACTACTTTCAATATTAAATGTTGCGTAAGTTAACTCAACATTTAACGTTGCTATCTGACAACACAGATGTTGAAAAAGATAACGCAAGCTAGGACTGCTTAAGCTACTTTTTGAAAAAAAAAAATTCTGCCTTTACATATTGCGCTTCTGCCAAATAAGGGATCGTCCATAAATAACGCAACGCTAAATTTATTTAAAAAACTGAAGTAGTAGATTTTAAGCACTTTTACACGACGATTTTCATTTTCAGAATTGTTAGTCCTTAGCCTTGCCTTAAGGCCGAAAAATGAGGCCTTGGCCTTGAAACTGTTAGGCTTGGTCCTTTGACTTTGTTTGTTTTGGCCTTGGTCTTAAAAAATACATATTTTCTTATTGATTTTGTTGAATTCTGCGCATGATCTTGGTCTATTTTTACAAAATATGGTTTTATTGTCAGCACTTGCTACTTACAGTTTTGTTAATAATTAGCTTTAACGTAAGGAAAATATTTAAGTCTTTGGACTTGAAAATGTTTGCGTAGACCTTGGCCTTGAAACTCTTAATCTTGGTCTTGACCTTGAAACTCTTGTCTTTTGCCTTGTAAGGTATGGCCTTGGCCTTGCTACTTTTGGCCTTCTTAAGAACTCTGAAACTTAATACGCTGTTTTCATTTTTTGATCAATATATATATATATATATATATATATATATATATATATATATATATATATATATATATATATATGAAGTTAAAAAAAAAATTATTGAAATCTTACAGTCAGATTTTTAGAAAATTGATTTCAAATAAATGAACAAATCTATGATTTACACTATAAAAGTATTAAATAAAAATAAAGTTTAAGCGCGCAAAGATTTTTGTTACATCTATTTATTTATATTTTTGTGAAGTTTTTGTATTATTATATTGATTTACGTTAAAAGTAAGACTACATCATTGGCTTTTTAGAAATTAATTAACAAATAATCTGTTGCCATATAAAATATTCTCTGTAGTTAAGAACCGTAGCCATTTTAAAAGTTCAAAAGTTTTTCGTATTTTCTTACGCATGCGTTCCTAAACATAGCGCTTTTTACTAATATCTAAACGACCGTGTATTAAGTTTTACCGTTTGACTTTCACTTAAAAACTGTATTGCGTCAACCTCCTCTTAATTTTTTATCTTTAGTATCTATCTCCGTTAAAAGCAATTCTTATAAAGTTTTAAAACTCCAATGACTGACGTGCCTGTATGGCCGAGTGGTTAGCGCGCTGAGCCTCTGAACGAAAAAACCGCGGTTCGAGTCCAAGCACCGGCGACACCGGCGACTAAAAATCTTTTAGAATCTTTGAAAATTGTTTGTGAAGTTAAATAAGTTAAATGTAACGATGTTATACGCTTTAACATTTTTTTTATTTTATTAATTTTATAAATTTTTGGGATTTTTAATAAAGCAAAAAATTTAAAAAACACAAAAAAACGGGGGGAAATTTGTTGCGTGGGTGTCATGATTAAGATACTGGGCTCACGTAATTAGTCCTAATAAGCTGCGGCACGGTGGTTTACAAGAGCTATGTTTAGGTACGCATGCGTTAGAAAATAGCTACAAATTTTGAACTTTTAAAATGGCTGCGGTTCTTAACTACAGAGAACATTTTATCTAACAACCGTACTTTTGTGCTTTATTTCTCACAAATTGATGTTGGAGGCTTATTTTTTATATAGATCAGTATATAAGTACTTAAATTTCTTATAAGAATTGATAAATAGAAATTAAAAAAATCTTAGCATGATAAAACTTAAATTTTATAATATCACTTATTGATATCCAAGATTTGTTTATTTATTTGAAATCAATTTTCTAGAAATCTAACCGTAGGAATTCATAAAAAAGTTGTTTAAACATTAAATACATATGTGCAATCTTGAAAGTATTTTTCTGGTTAATGCTTCAACTTTTTTTTGATGCAAAATTATATTTTGACTTAAAGTAAATTTTTTATATATATATAAAATGTCAGTTGCAACTATATGCTATTTTTGTTCTAATATAAAAAAGTATATGTGATTGTTATTATTACATGTATATAATATTAAATATGATATATTATATATATATATATATATATATATATATATATATATATATATATATATATATATATATATATATATATATATATATATATATATATATATATATATATATATATATATATATATATATATATATATATATATATATATATATATATATATATATATATGTGTGTGTTTGTGTGAGTGTGAAATTATACTGTGAAAATCTTAACTAAATACTAGATAAATAAATTAGTGTATATTAGTCACATTAGGACTCTGCAAATTGGTTTAATAGATATGACTGAAGCTTTTTGAATCAATTTTTACTTTCAAATGTTTGCAAGTTTTTTTAGACATAAAAAATGAAGATTCTATTAAAGAGTTTTTATTTATCTTTCATCAAGTGACCAGAGTAAAATATCCTTAAATTGCTAATTCGTTATGAAACTAAAAATGACAATTTGCAGTACCAGAATTTTTGTTTACAATATATATATATATATATATATATATATACATATATATATATATATATATATATATATATATATATATATATATATATATATATATATATATATATATATATATATATATATATACATAATATATATATATATATATATATATATATATATATATATATATATATATATATATATATATATATATATATATATATATATATATATATATATATATCTTGGTAAGTAAATTTTTAAAAATACTTTAATTTTGGAATATTGTAATTGTAAACAAACAAAAAAAATTGTCCACTGATCGGACAATTGTTTTTTTTTAGAGGAATTGAGTACGTTTTCATTAGAGGAGTTTTGGTTTAGCCGGTTATTAATTGAAATTTGTATTTGTTTTAGAATTTAGGGTGAAACGTTTTAATATTAATATACAGTATACTGCATATACTTTAGATAAAACAATTGAATTTGCTAAAAGCCACAGAGTTATTCCGGAAGAGACAATCTGTATAATAAAACATTGCAGAAAAACCTTACTTTATTTTAATAAGGTAACTTAAAAAATAAGGAAAAAGAAAAACATATATGACTGCCGTGATGTAACAACCCAACAAACGTTTGGTCTAAAAAAGGCGTTTTCAATACGAAGAAGTCATAATAAGAAGTTGTTTTCAATACGAAAGAAGTCATAATAAAAAGAAGTCAGAGCCGATAAACAAAACTGTGACTCCGACTCCAATAGTAAAATCTCTCTGTATTGTGTGTGCTTATACAAAATATTTAAACTTCAAAGAATTTTTCATATATTTTTAAAAAAATATTTTTTTAAATTATCACATAATATTTTTAGAAAAAATTCAACAAATTTTTCAAAACTTTTGCTTTGAAGTCAGAATCTTGCTCTGAAAACTTCAACGATTATTTTTTTCACGACTCCGCAACCCTGTGGCAATGCATAAAATATCTAGTCCCCAGCTTGATAAAATTAGAAAAGATACTATAAAAGTTTTTAATATTGGCTTGAATGTGAATTTTCTAATGACACATCTAACCTCTCTGAAAATTCATATGGGGCTATTAAAAAACCAAACGATGAATTGTTGTGTATTAATATTAACTCAGACGATGAATTATTGTATATTAATATCAACTAATATTAATATACATATTTGGTTGCACCAAATGGAAGAATTAAGAGTCAAAATAGTTATTAAAAAATCTAAGCTTGAAGTTTTAATGTTAGAAAGTTTCTCGTTATCATTTGGACGGTATTAATAGTGCTGAGCTTTGTGAATGTATAACATGGTACAGCCGGAAACATTTTTAAATACTATAAATTTTTTTAAATATTGTATCTGGTCTAACTAAAGACATGTTTCTGCCACATTTTATGCACTTTGAGTATGAATGTTAACAAAGTAACCATTTATTTTTACTGAGAGAACGAATAAAAACAAATTCCCCCATTTAACTAGCTCTCAGAGAGTAGTTGCTGAAAAGTTTAGATGTGTTTTTTGGACTATTTTAAATTCATCCATAGATGTCAGTACTCTTTAGTTTCGAATATAGTATGTTGCCAAGTTTAGAGTACCTGTATTATAATTGCATAAAGAAAAAATCAATATATTTAAATGGTTCAAATACTAGGCTTCTAACTGGATGTCAGAAGCAGGCTAGTGAAGCCAACTGTTTTTTTTTACGGCTCGGCTCCCTAACTTTATGAACAAAAATCGCAAGTTTGGGAAATTTTTTTAATCACATTTGCCGACCCATAACTATACCACCTACAGCTACTAATTTTTAACCAACTCTCATAATTACATTATTGCATTACTATCACTACTCTACTCAACTACCGGATATTACCTTTGAAAAGAAAAATGTTTTGGGTAAACAAACACTTTTTTCTATATATTATTTACGCAAAACTATAGTTTTTAGTCCGAATTTTAATTCTAATTCTACCTAAGGGGTACGTACCTAAAAAAAGACGTCTTTTGAACTTCCCAAAGACGTCCAAAACGTTCAAAAAGCATCCAAAACTTTCAAAAGACGTTTAAAGGTGAGTTTCCACTCATCCGTTTTTCTACGGGAAAGGGAAAGGGAACGGAAAAATAATCACGTGAGCATGCGCAGTTTTCTTTCGGACAAATAAAAACTTTTAATACGCATGCTCACGTGATTATTTTTTCCCCGTAGAAAAACGGATGAGTGGAAACTCGCCTTAAAAGACCTCTTTTGTATGTCCCGTAAAACATGCAATCGTTAAATTAAAAAAAAAAACAAGAAATAGTTCAACTAATGCAAAAACTTCAATTTTATTTTAATCTAAGGAACTTGAAGATTATAAAAGTGCTTTTTATTTTAATATTTTTCATTATTTCGAATAGCGAACATTTACGCTAATTGACGACATCAACTTCTGCACAGTGTCTTCTACAACTTTTTTCTATATATATATATATATATATATTGTGTAGAATTTGTGTATGAAAATAAAAGATGTTTTACAAAATAATGTTTTATCAAGCTTTTTTAACTATCCATGTGATTTAAAGAGTTTGAATATTTTTCATATTAAAAAATTTTTAATAATTTTTAAAGATTTTTCTTGTAAAGTTGTATAAAAAAGAATTTATGCTTGCTCCTTTAGTCCATGATATTGGTTGGTAGAAGGATCAACATAAAGTTTAGCAAATTTTAGCAACTGTATAATGTATCATTACTTACAGTTTAAAGTTGTATTTTTCTGTTAGCTATTTTACATGAACAAATTTTTATTATATGAGTATTTTTCTATTATATTTTCTACTATACTTTTCCAGTTGAAAAAGTATATTAGGGCAAGCTAAATGTTCATTCGAGCTGTTTGGATAGAAAATACAGAGAAATAAAAAAATAAAATTTGATTGATAATTTTTTGTGCAGGCCATCATGGTTAAATGTAATAAATTGTTTGAATGAAATGCATAAACCACAGTCTAACTAATGCAGATTTAAGCTGCTCAAAATTAAATGTCATGGAGATAATGTAATTTTTTTTATATAAACATTAAGTTATTCCTTTTTTCCTTGTTTTTTTAACATGCTTTCATTCTGTATATGTTATTTTCAGTGTTTAGATATATTCTTTATTATATATTCTTTATTATATGATGTATTTAAAACATTTTTAAATTGAATGAATGTTCTTAGATCATGAGTTATGTGATAAATTTGAATTTGCTACTACTAGTGATATTCAGATAGAATCAGATTTAGAAAACTGTAACTATTTTAAACGATACTTAATTCAAGTATTATTAGTTTTATTTTGATATTAAATTTTATAGGAGCCACTACCATGCCTATGCAAGAAAAAACATAGTAACCAACAGAATAGTAAGCAAGTACCTACTCTTGTAACGCAAAAAAAGAAACAGAAAACAATTTTTTTTTGCATACTCCACATACTGTAGCTCAAGGTATTAATTGTCTGTTTGCAAATTGATTTAGGAAGAAAAGATTTTGAACATTTTTTTCTATTCTTCAGTGATTTACACATTTTATTGGTTGCTAAATTAATACATTTTATTTAATTTATGAATAATGTTTTATTTTATAAATGTTTTGTTCTTGTGTTTCAACGCTTTTAGAAATTAATTTATGTTTGGTTCTTTTGTCTTTCTGATATATCTTTATTGCTAGAAAGAAATGTTAGTAAAAACTCTTTCCAGTAATTAAAGTAATATCATGACAAATAGTTCTGAAATTCTATGGATGAACTTGCAGCAGTAATTTAATGATTATGATAACAGTTTAAATGATTCTTGGGTGAGGTCAGAAGTGATGGTTTGTTTCAAACCATGACTTTTTGCATTTTTTTTTATTGTTTTTTGACAAAGTATTTAATAATAACTTAGCCTAAGTTTATCTACTTGTAACTTTTTGTAAATGTACTATAAAAATAATGTGGTGTAATCATTTTCTTAAACCTTTAGGTTAACAAACTTTCTAAAATTGGAGGTAAAACCATTAAAACAAATACAAAAAAAATGTGATGCAAAGATTTGTTAAAAGTAGTTTAAATAAAAAATCTTTTGAATCTTTTTTTATAGTGTGTTTTAAACTTGTGTTAAAAATATGTGTAGCATATGTTTTTAAAAGCTTGACGAATTCTAATCAGACATAAAATAAATCTTCTTTTTTTTATGTCTGATTATAATTTTTTTTGTAACTGTTTTCTCTTACTTTTGTATTTCCTTGAGCTAAAGAACAACCTTAAAGTACATAGGTTGATTTGTAACACATACTTAACCTTTTTTTTTTACTCTATTTATACATACATATATATGTACATAAATAAACATACATATATATGTATGTATATATACATACAAATGCTTATATGAATATATATAATATATATATATATATATATATATATAAAATATATAAAATCTTTTCGTGATGCAACATTGAACCTGATTGACAGTTCTTATCAACCTTATTGTAAACCTAATAACCAACTTATGTATGTTCATTCAGAGTCAAACCATCCACCTAATATAATAAAAGAAATCCCTCACACTATTGAGTTAAGATTATCGAATATGGCAGTAAATGAAACTGTGCTCAATAACTCAATTATTCCGTATGAACAGGCTTTACGTAAATCAGGATACAATTCAAAACTCACCTACCAACCGCAAATAAACAAAAATCAAAAAAGACATCGCCAACGTAAAATTATATGGTACAACCCCCCGTTTAGCAAAAATGTTGAAACTAAAATTGGAAATCGCTTTTTAGCTTTAGTTGACCAACACTTTCCAGTAGAACACAGGCTTCATAAAATTTTTAATCGAAACTATGTTAAAGTAAGCTATAGTTGCATGCCTAATGTCAAGTCTTTAATAAATACACATAATAACAAAATTTTACATAGCGATAAAAATAAAACATCAAAAAAATGTAACTGCATAGACAAAAATATTTGTCTGTTAAATAACCAATGCCTTTTTAGCAATATCGTATACCAAGCCACTGTAAGTTCTGGTGATCCTCAATGCAAAGATAAAGTTTATTTCGGTATAAGTGAAACCACATTTTAATTAAGATATGCCAACCATCTTAAATCTTTCAATGCACCCAAATACAAAAATGACACTGAGCTTTACAAAGAAATATGGGAGCTAAAATCGAAACATATAAATCCTGTGATTACATGGAAGATAATAGCACAATGTAAGCCCTACAATCAAGCATCAAAAGTTTGTAATCTTTGTCTCCGCGAGAAGTTTCACATATTATCATATAAAGGAGAAAGCTTACTTAATAAAAGATATGAAATAATATCAAAGTGCCGGCATTCAAAAAAATTTTTACTATCCTTATTTGATACCGGGGACTAAAACCTTTGACGTCTTTTTGTTTTGTTTTGTTTTGTTTGGTAACGTCAGAACTCGTTCCACCGTAATTTTAATTTGTAATTTTTAAACGGTTTTTAAGTGACAAAATACACAATGGCTGATGATTGCCGAAAGGCATGAAACTCAGAGTTCCATCAAAAGTTGTTTTTATTCATTTAATAAAAATAAATAAACATATATATATATATATATATATATATATATATATATATATATATATATATATATATATATATATATATATATATATATATATATATATATATATATATATATATATATATATATATATATATATATATATATATATATATATATATATATATATATATATATATATATATATATATATATAATAATGGTGCAATTTAAAGTTTTTTCTTTTATTTATAAAGTTGTACTTGATAAAAATAAATAAATAAACTTGAACATTTTGAATATTTATTAATTATTATGATAAATTATATAAAGTATAAATATTTTGCAAAAACACTTTTATTTGCAATAACTGCTTCATTGCATTGTGGCATGCTTGCAATTTATTTTTTATATTTTCTGTCAACTCTGGGTTATTATGCTAGATCTTGATAATCTCTTCCATAAGATCTTGCTTACTAGTAAGATTTTTTTTTCCAATCTCTTGCTTTACTATTTCCCAAATGTTTTCTATGGGGTTAAGATCATGCGAGTTGTCTGGCCATAGCAATACATCAACTAAGCCATAACAGTTTTTATTATGTGGCAAGTTGCACCATAATAAAAACTGATGGCTGGACATCAATCCCTCTTCTTTTATCTTTCTACAAATGGTCCGGTCTGACACAACAATTACAGCTTCATGGATAAGCTTAGTGGCTTTTTTTCTGTTTTCCAGGCAGATATTTCTGATTATACTGTCCGCTCTTGGTGTTTTCTTGCATTTAGAAGGTGGTCTCCTTGGACCAAACTCTTTCCCTGTATCAATTCTTTTTCTTACTTGCATTACGGTTTGGTAAGAAACCTTTGCGGTTTGTGCAATTTTTCATTGAGAATTATTTGCATTTTGTAAAAGACATGTTTATCAATTTTTAGTGTAACTATGACAATGTATAATGCAGGTTGTTGACCAATGGTTTATAATCAAAATTTAATATGGGTGGCGGTAAAGGTAAAGAGAAGTTTAAAGGAACAAAAATTAGGTATTTACTTGTAAGTTAAGTGTAAAATTATATATTTTTTAAAAATCACAGTTCGTTTTTTTAATGCTATTTTATTTTTAACTTTTTGATGTATTTGATGCAAATTACTCAGGCAATACCTTTTTTTATAGAGAACGTTTTGTCAATTAAAGTTGCCAAAATAAGAAAATAAATAATGACTTTATTAAAATATGCACTCGAAAGATCAAATGGTGGTGGTCGGCTCGTAAAAGGCGATTCACCAGATGTATAACATTCATACTTTTTCCTAGTTGTTCTGGAACTAATGATAATAGTTATTATTGATAAATTGATAAATATATTACTGATAAATAAAACTTTTTTTTTCAAACATTTTACTTTATTTTCATTGTATATAAAGTCCGTTGAAGCAATTTAGTTGTATCTGATTAATTTGCGTGAAATATAATATTCTTCGCGCAAATTGTTGCTTTTTTATTGTGTTAATTTATTGCAGTTAAAGTTGAGAAAACAAAAATCAACGTTGAATTTACGTTGTTTCAACGTTGTTCTAACGTCTTATCAACTACGTATCAATCGAATATATCACCTATTCAAAGTTGAAATATGGTTGATATGTAGTCGATAAGACGTTAGATCAACGTTGAAACGACGTAATCATCGACGTTGTTTCAACGTCGTAGTTTTCGACATCGGATTTTATTTCCAATTTAACCAAATTTCAACGTTGTTTCAACGTGGCATATGGTCGGTTTACGACGTTGTTTCAACGTTATTTCAACGTCATTGTGCCTGCTGGGTATAGAGCTCATGTATTGTTTCTTGCCCATACAAACTATAGTTTTGCTAGACTCAGACACTTTAGCGATTGAAAGTAACGATGCAGAAAAATTTGGTAGATTGTTGTGCAGACTTTTTTTAACTGCTTCAATGACAATTTAATTAATAGAAACATTTTGACTCGTTTGTTGATGTTTTTAATTAATTATAGCAAAGCAATTACGCAAAAAAAATACATTAAAATGTGTTATTGAAAAGTTTTAAAACGAAATTCATCGTTTCAAGTTTAACGATCGCATGCTTTAAAGATATGAATAACCTTTGATTATTAAATAACGCATCAAATATTTAACAGCATAGTATCAGTATAAAAATATAATTTAATGCATATAATTTTATATAAAAATATAATATAAAGCTGTAATTTACTTTTTTTTTTAATAAAGCATATTAAAAAATACTATTAAAGGATAGTTATTATTATTTTATTTATTTAACACCCAATTTACAAGGTAAAAAGAAAAAAATAAGAAAGTTATTTCGGATGACTTTGCTTAAAAACGTTTTCTTCCAGAATTTGCTTCAAAACTCCTCTTTGCTCTTTTGCATTCCAGCACTCTATTGCATACTTCAAGTTTCGTTCAACTTCGGAAGGAATTTTACTTTTAGAAAGTGGTATTTTTACCTTCTTTTTATTTTGAATTAGGTTTTGAAAATTTAATATCTGAAGATGGCATAGTTCCTGAATATCACTAACAAACGAATGTTGAAATAATGGGTGTTGCAGTTGTGAAAAGATAATGTCTGCAGTTGTTTTGTTATTAAGAAGTCGAAGGAACAAGTTTAACTTATTTTGTTGAACACTTTTTGAAATTTCCTGGATTTTAAATAACGAATTCATATAGTTTTTACTATGTTTTGAAACATTTAAAAACGATTTTAGCGCACTCCTTCCAATTATATTTAGCTTTTTCATCAGACCAGGATTATTTTCACATAGCTCCATACCATAAGTTGAGGTGGGGACTGCCAATGATTTATATATATAGGAAATA